AGAGTGACCAGCAAAGATGACTGAGCCCATAAAGATGTCAGAAAATTAAAAAAAAAAGTGAATGTCTTACTCTGCAAAATTCAAACTGAATGTAATCAGTTATGCAAACAAGGCTGAATGAAGTGATTTGCTCAGCTAAATGTGATGCATAATATCATAGAACTGGTATGTAAATGTTGCCTAATTACTGTACTAAAAAGCTGTTCCCTTCTAATGTTTAAAATATTGATTTCTGAATTTTGGGTCAGACAATTAGGGGACGTCTTATACAACTTATACATGGAAAAATACGGTATATTTCGGCATTATATTGGCTGAAATTCTGTTCCTTTGTTATACATGCAGAGGTTGACTCACATGATTTTCAGGATCTTCCAGCTGGGATTCTTTGACATGTGCCATGCCAATGGGCATGCAAGCTGCCGAGAATCCCAGTGGCAATTGATTAATTGCCAGCTAAAAGTGACTGAATGTTATGCCTTTTGCAACATGTATAGCAGAGCAACAGGATTTCACCCATTGTATGTTTTATTAATATTGTACACAGCTTTGAGGTTTTTCAATACAAGCCATTTATAAATAATTGTAAAAAACAAATTACGGAAACAAGTATGCTTTCAGGTGGCCTGATGACAAGAAAAGATAGAAGCAATAAATTGTATGTGCTTTTTTTCTGTACTATTTCTAATAAAATATGCTATTTTAATTCATTTTGGACATAGAATTAAAAGTGCTGAACTAAAACAGAAACAGAAATAATCGTAATTTCATTTCTGCTCATTTGTTTTCAGTCCCTATAATTCTTATCATAGGCCAGGATTAGATTTAATTTTATTGTCATGCTTTTGCTTTGATATTATGGCAGAGCACCTATATTTCTCACTATTTGCAGGTATGCCTGGCTGATATTAACACAGACTATTATACACTAGTATTACTCCCTTCCTAGAAACAAGTGAGTGGTTCTCAAATCTGCTGCACTACAGGAGCATTCTCCCAATGAATTGTCATAGTAAATACATACCTGTTCCTTTGCAGGATGGCTTTGGACATTCAAAGAAATACTGATGGAGGGCCTTTTAGTGATTTCTGCATTATTTATCTGGGTTTCTTTATGTAACAGATACAGATGGGACCAGTGTACCTTCCCTGTGGTGATATGCTTGAGTTCCAACAGCTTGTGCTTTTTCTGCCTCTTTTCACAGGAGAAGTTATGGAAGTTCCCATTTTCCCTGTTACACAGAAAAGTCATCGGTTGCCCCCTGTTTTTCTCCCATGGTGCTTTCCAGAACATCCAGCTCTGACAATGAAATCTATCTTGAAAGTGCCCTGGAGTTCACCTAAAAATGGAGCAATTTGAAGCAATCACAGGTAGCTTTTAGAGATAGCAAAGGAGGTGTCTTACCCCCAATTTTAAGGAGGGCGCCCACACACATGCACTCTGATCCTCAGCCATCTGCAGAAACATTGCGTAGCAGGGTGCCTGGAAGGGTCAGTTTGCCAGCTGGAAAGAATTGTGTGTCAGTTAGGGTTAGCCCTATTAGTTAGAGTTGAGTGTGATCTGCTTTTGAGAAGACGCTGTGAATAAAAGTGTTGCCTTCTCTCTCTCTCTCTCTCTCTCTCTCTCTCTCTCTCTCTCTGTGTGTGTGTGTGTGTGTGTGTGTGTGTGTGTGTGTGTGTAAAGAAGAAAACAGATGTATAATTGTTAAAAAGTAAAATAAAGTCTTAGGACTAGTATATTACAGAAAATGGCAGCTTGGAATATTGGCTTACATTTTGATTTTACTTGTTTATCGAATCCCTTTTTTATCCTTTTGCAAATTAAAAAAAACATCTTGGTTCACAAACACTGATTATTATAATTTTAACAGATAGCACCATAAGCCATTATTGTAAGCTATTACAGTATGTCCACATATGTATAACATTGGCCAGTGTTGCCACAACAAACAAGGCTGTATTTCATACTTCATACATACAAAAATGTTCATACTTTTAAAAGGGACAAATTGAAGGCCATTCTTAGCAGTGGTAGAGTTAACACAGTGGTGTAGACTGGAAACACTTACTATTCGCCTGTAATGGTGATGAGACTCATCCAAGAGGAGTTGCTGTTCATTAGTTTAAATGGCAAAACCAAGCTTAGTGCAGTGGGTTTAGGAGAGATTGTTATTTAAGAGGTGGCACACACAGGTAAAGAAGGTGTGTGAGAGATACTGTACTGCTTGTTTAGAATTGTTTTGTAATTGGCTCCATTAGTAGACTTTCATTATTATTCTTAACTGTTTAATTGAATTTTAACAGCATAACACTTTGTTTTTTCTTAGTATCATCTTTTGCATCATTCCTTGTATGAGAATGGCAGGATATACTTTTCTTAGTATCGTCTTTTGCAACCTGTCTTCATTCCTTGTATGAGAATGGCAGGATATATATGAAATAAATAAACAAGTTAAATGTTTATTTATTTCATTTGTCTCTGTTACTGTCACAGTTCATGAGCTGTATTCAGAAGGAACAATCATTTTAAAAGAAAAAAATCTCATGCACTGCTCATACCCACACATACACATAATTCCTACTGAGCCATGCACTCAAAACACTTGTATAGCGAGGAGAGTGAAAAAAGAAAGTAACATGATCTCAGTACAAGGCAGTAGTACAGAACTAAGAAGGACAAAATACAGTCAGAAATCAATGACTATTTGGCATTATTCTCATTCGTGCACAGGTGACAGGATACATTGCAGAATTATTATTCCCTTCTTCTCTGACTCTGCTGAAATGTTCCATAAGGCACTTGAACCAGTGAGCTTATTTTGTAGGGAGAAGGAGATCCCAAATAATTGGTTGAGAATTCTTTCTCAAAGCCTTTAAAACGAAGTAGTTTATCTCCTTTTTGAAAATACATATTCAGCACTTCTAGTGCTTCCCCCATCTCTCCTTGATTTAAGGATATACAGTGGTGCCTCCACTTACGAACGTCCCTCCTTACGACCATTTTGAGTTACAAACAGCTCCGTCTGCAAAATTTTTCTTCTACTTGCGACCGGAGATTCCACTTGCAAACAGAAAAAGGCAGAGGACAAAAGACGGGAAATTCAAATTGCTAATTGTAGGTGGCGAAAGAGACTGCTTCTTTGTAGCTCTTTCACCCCGATGGTTAGAGTGAGTGCAATCGAGCAGGGACTGCCTTGCTTCTGCTTCTCAGTGAAGGTGTGTGTGTTTGCAGGGAGCCTTGGGACTGCCCGTTAGGTAAGGTAAAGTGCTGTTTTCTGCTCGAGCAGGGACTGCCTTGCTTCTGCTTCTCAGTGAAGGTGTGTGTGTTTGCAGGGAGCCTTGGGACTGCCCGTTAGGTAAGGTAAAGTGCTGTTTTCTGCTATTTACATTAGGTAAGGTAAAGTGCTGTTTTCTGCTATTTAAAAACTGTTCTGGGTGTTTTTGCAGCGTGGTTTTAGGCTGGGGGGATGTGCTGTGATGGGTCTTGGGGGGGTTTGTTTGTTTTTTGGGTTGCCCCCATTTCTGATGGGTCTTGGGGAATTTGGTTGTTTTTTAGGGGTTTCCCCCCCATTTCTGATGAGTCCTGCATGTTTCCCTTGCATTTTCCTTTGTTTTCTTCGCATTTCTGACCTTGTCCCTCAGTTCTCTGTGCATTTCCTATCTGCTCGGTTTTTTTTCTGTGCATTTGCAATGGTTCTTGCACGCTTGATTGCTTTTCTTCCCCCTCCCTTTGGCCAGAAGGGATTAATTGCGTTTCCAACGAGTCTTGCAGAGATTTTTTTTGTATGTGTGATTTTTTTCTTCAGCTGGAATGGATCAATTGCATTTATGGGAAATGGTGCTTCAGCTTAAGACCATTTCGACTTACGTACATCTTCTGGAATGGATAATGGCCGAGGCACCAATGTATTCTAAAGAAAGTGGTTAAGAATTTGGATTATGAAATATTGGTTCAAATCCACCTGAGGCATGAAATCTTCTGGAGGAGGTTGCCTACTCTCTCTCTAGGCTTGATGTAGATCAGCCTTTTTTTTAAAGATAAAGTAGAACACCATTAAATGAACAAGAACACACTGAGCTCAATGGACAAAAATGTGAGATAACAAATTTAATTACTACTACGTGTGCTCCTCCCCCTCCTCCTGTACCGAGCTAGACCTGTGAATGCCAGATTTTGAGAAACAAATGTAAGGAGTTTTAGAAATATAAAAAAAAAATTTAAAAAAAGAAACAAATGATTAAGATTTGGTACACAGTCATCTCATAATGCCAGATTTTGAGAAACAAATGTAAGGAGGACAGCATAACCCTCCCTGATTAAGATTTGGTACACAGTCATCTCATTCTGGACCTCTAAGCTGGAAAATGACACTCAGTTCTAACAGATGGGGCAGGGGAAGGGAGGATTCTAGTTGCTGGTTCATTTCCAACGTTACGTCTTTAGTGTACAGTACTGGCAAGATTCCGGCTTCCAAATGCTGGTCAAGCATAGCAAAACTTTGCTAGTACGTACTTTCTTTCATAATTTTACAAAGGCATTTAAAAAATTCAAATCGTTGCTCAAAATTTCAACCAGTCAAGAGCCCCCATTCTCTAGAAGCCTGAATAAAGAACATTAGTAGTTTTCACCGAAGGTTGACAAAAATGTACACTATGCTTGGGTTTTATTTTAATGGAGGAAACGGAGACCATGTTAATTTTCAGCACTCTCCAACTTGCTCTGGGTCCACTAGTCTTTACCGCTTTGAAACTGGTAGATTTATAGACCTCATCGAGTAGACCATGCTCAGTTATTCACTCTAGAAGCTTTTTATATAAGCAATTCAAAATAGAATGTTGAGGTTTTTAACAGCAGATTTTATTTATTTGTGAATGTGCCCCAAGTCCTCCATGGAGATGCTATATCAAAGAGATTTACAGTCCCAGACACAAGGCTCAGAGTCAAAACTTCTCTTGAAAACCAAACTTTAATTTTAAAAAAAACAAAACAATGCCTACAGACAATTTTAACTATTTAAGTCTTCTTTTAGCCTATCCAAGCCAGGCCAATTCTGGGCAGTCCTTAAGTCCAAAAATAGTAAGTTATTACTATTTCCTTCACCATACAATTCTTTGGAGGCTTAAAATTGTCTCCACCCCCTCCTGTCCTCTTCCCTGGAAGGAGGAAGCCATGCACTGGACTGTTCCCACCATTCAGCCAGAGATGGTTCAACTGCCTCCTCTATTGTCACAGCTAGGTGGGAATGGGGTTCATTGGCACAGGATCTAGCTATGGCTGACATTACTTCCTCTGAATGATAGTGTCCTGTGGCCAGCTGAAGCTGGAGGCTTGCAGCACTTCCTTGGGAGGCTCAGGTTGGGGCATCCATCCAGGTCTTCCTTTCATCATCTTCTTCAATTCTCCCCGCCTCCTCCGCCTCTTCCTCAGCTTGCTGTAGCAGCTCTAGCTACCATTTTGCATTCTCAGTAATGCCTCAAACCTAGCATTATTCCAGAACATGGCAGAGAGTCACTACGGTTGCTACAGTCAATCAAGTAAGCAATCAATTCTATGGAGAATATTTGGAGAAAATCCTGTGATATAGATTTCTATTCTTATTTTTTTCTTTTTCTTTTTCTTTTCTTTTTTGCAAGCAATAACAATATTCTTAAAGTTCATGAAGGCAGTGAATCTGAAAAAAAATTGTTTCAGTTCTACTTTGGTTTCTGCTTTCTGTCCACGCTGGCATAATGAAATTGTGTTGACATGGGGGTTATAATTACCAATGAGAAGCTTTGCCAAAATATATTTAACTCACAGGAGGTTGAATTGTAAGTGTTCGACTTCTTCCTGGAGGAAAGCTGTGAAGTAAATTATTAGTTTGTCATTATTTCTGTGTAGCTTCTATATATATAACAAATCATTTAAAATGCATATTTATCTGATTCTAGCAGCAATCTGACATAGATTAGGCTGAAATACAAATGCTTTCTCTAAATCATCCAGTAAGCTTTGCTGCTAAAGAGGGATTTGAACTGGAGTCTCCCACATTAAAATTAAAAGTCTTCAGAATTGCTGGATAGATATTGTGGCTCAGTTGTTACTTTCCTAGGTTAATGCCTTTCAGAAAAGGTCCCATCACTTCCAACATCTTTTCCATTCATTTGTATTCAATTCACATATTTTGCTCAGTATTTTATAATGCTTTCTTCCAAGCAGATAAGAAATTCAATCCAGAAATTCAATTGTTTTCAAAATTTGGTCAGGAGTCTTACCATAAGGATATTTCTACACATTAGGCTTAAAGTAGGCCTTGTATCAGTTGGGTGTATATAATTCAAATGTAAACCCTACATTGCCTAAAACAGTGAACTTCAAACATCAACATTTCTGTAACTTCTTCCCTGACTAATCTTAACACTATTCCTATACTGAAAATCCTCCTATGGCTGTTAGCCTTGCTTGGCCAGAAGATACAAGGAGGCAGACCCTTTACATGTCATAAAAAAAGGGGGGGGGATAAAGGATGACAGTGATAAGCATAAAATTTCATATGCTAATTGCTACATACAGAAGCAATACTAGAGATGGTTTTAAATAATAATAATAATAATAATAGAATCCATTTAATACAAACAGCGTTTGTTTGGATTTTTGCCTGTTCCTTTTGCCTTTTTCTTCCCTCTGAGCTTACTGATTGCAGTGCCTCTCACTCAAGTGCAGAAGACAGTAAGCGGGGGTTTGGTGTCTCTTTTACTGTAGATGGGGAAATTTCCAGGCCTGTCCTCTCCCATCTTAGCAGTCATTATCTTTAAATAACGCTTGGACCAGACAGCCTTTCAAACAGAGGATGCCTTCAAAAGGAAAATTGGCCTCGCAAATAGAGTGCTGTCCTGTCTAAAAGAGTACATGTGGACACCATAGCTACAGGTACTCATTGGAGATATCTTTGGTTCAAATAACTCTTCCTTCCTCAGAGAAGCCTCAAAAGACCATTTTCAAAAGAAAGGGGATTGAGGGGGAAAGGAACACTTCTATTACACTATTCCACCCATCCGAATAGCAGCCTCAGAACCTTCGTTGTTTAGTGGAGATGGGCCAGAATTGCTTTTTCTAGCTATTTAGGGGCCTGAAGGGTGAAAATCATGAATGTACACATAGCGTTTTGTTTTGTCTTTGCCCAGTGGAAATATGAAATCACAACCATCCAACTGTCCTTGCACTGACAGCTATGCATACATCTTTTGTGAGATTCTCATCCAATTTAGGTAGCCTTCTCTGTCTCTTCCTTTGTCATTTTTCTCCCTTCTATACTGAGGGTAATCCTGCACCAACAAGAGTGGACCAAAGCTTTTCACCACCACAGATGTATTAATCTAGTGATATATGCTAGGATGTTTTTGTTACCTCCTATCACAACCATTGTTAACCCCATCAATGTTTGTCCTTTGTTTTGTTTCAGTTCTCCCGTGTGATCTTGTTCACCCAAAAATCTGTGTAAATATCTCCCAACTGAGCCGGCACTCCCTGCATCTGAAAATGTAGGTTGCAATCCATACAGGCTTATGGTAAATCTAAGACTCAAAATCTATATCATGGCACAATGATTCAATGTCCAAAATCCTGTTGTCATACGTTATGCCACGGATCACTGGTGACATCATCTGCTCTTTTGGGAAGTTGAAAGCTTCCTATTCCGCACTCCCTGTTAAGCTCTAAGGATCCCTAGTGATCCCCTTCAGGCCAGGAAGTTTCTGGGAGTAGTGGAATAGAGAAGGAAATGATTTAAAACCAGAAAATCAGTGCTGTCACTCCAGAATGTGCAGCAGTAATTTTCCTGCTTTAAATCATTTCCTGTTCCCTTCCACGGCTCCAGAAGTAAAAAAGGTTCTTGGAGCTGGGTGTGATGGCAGGATGGGAAGGTTTTAATTCCCTGAAATAGCTGTTGCAAGAACATGGCTGAGTATTATTGTTATTATTTTTTTAAAAATTATCATTGGAGACTCTGGCATAAGTTACACCAACAGGATTCTGGCTTATGAATATGCCAAAAGAAACCATTTATCCATATGGGCCAATACTGTCTACACTGACTAGCATTAGTTCTCCTGAACTGCAGAAAGAACTCTTTCTCAGCCTCCATTGTGGAGATACCAGGCCCAGAATCTGGGACATTTTGTACTGAAACTATGTTTTCTACCTCTGAACCATTTCAGTCTTTTTTCTAGTCACCTACTCCAGTTTGCTGCAATACAGAGGCACACTTGGATATAACACTCTGTTTTAGTAGATTAGAGGTAGTAGCTAATTGATTATAACACATAAGATTCACATTCCCATTTTTGCTTCTTACATTGAGATACTATCATGGTCAGCTGTTGCCTTCTTCAATAACACTTCCCCAAGCTGCTGTTCCTCACTGGACCCAAAAGTCCAATTTCTAAGCAACCCCAATATGAGAGGATGCTGGGGGAAAGGGAAAGCTCAGATTGGTTGTATTATTTTGTAATTATTCTGACCAGGAATGATGGTCTAAGTACTGAACTTGTAACTATTGACTAGAAGTAATCAGTCTGATTACTGAGAATTATCCTTCTCAGCCACACTAGATGCTGTTCCAAGTCCTCCATACAGAGCATGTTACCATAGTCTCTCGAGACTGAAGGATGCCCAATCTAATCTAAATCTAAATCAGTCTGAACACTGGTAGTAAAGTTTAAAAACATTCTTCAGGTTTTCAATAAATCTGTCCTTCCAAAGAGCAGAAGAGACTTCTAAACTTATTTACAGAAACTCCCAGAAATGGCTTCCACGAAGGCGAGTTTGCTTACAGCCCATCATGGAGTCTCCATGTTCAGCTGCCTCCATCTGGCATGGTGGAGCATTAAAAAACCCAAGATTTGGCCTCCGAGAAAAAAGTAGTAAGAGGGGATGAGGAGGCTTGAATTGTAGCAAGTATACAATCCCTGGCTGGCCAGCCTAAAGCTCCCTCCACTAATGTAAACCATTTGCTACATAGGTTGCTTCAATATTCCAACGGAAGGAAGGAATAAGCATCTCTTTATCACTCTCCCCTGCAAATATATTCTTCTCTTCACTTTGGAAATACTGTGTTTGCTGCCAAAGATCTTGTTCCACCCTTACTGATGGATTTTGAAATTTAGTAAGTTATTCCTGGTTTTATATTGCGAAAATGTATGGTGGTGCTGACAGAACCACTAGGCAGAGAAACCTGTCTTCAATAAAGGTTAATAAAGTCGATATTCTTTGCTTATCTTCGTTTTATTGTCAGGGGTTTTCTTTCCTAGACCGGTATTACAACTATTTCTCTGACAATAGAAGAATACTAAAAATTCAATAATAACCATTCTTCTTAAAATTGTTTTTCCCCAAACAGGAGATAGCATTGAAAGCGAGCAGATGCAGCCATTTGCTTTCTATATAGGTATTCAGAGAAACAGCTGCAAACAGAGACAATGCAGAGGTGGAGACTGCATTTTATCTTTAAACAAGCTGGAACAGTATTATTTGTTCATTGAAAGTTCATATACAGTACATCTTAAGTTTTGCGGTAGAGAAACAACTATCTGTGATAGAGTAACCAGCTATATTTTTATACACGTGCATCTCTAGCAGTGATGGTTTGCTCTAAAGCAGCGCTTCCAAGATGGAAAGAGGAAGGCCATTCATTATTCCACAAAATGTTTCAGGATGGGTAAATGCTAGAGAACCTTCCTCTAAGATTTTTAGGGCCCTTCCTATAATTCCCATGATTTGATGCACCAGGTCTCTGTGTTATCCATCTGCCTCCATTTGCTCCCAATCCTGACACACCAGAAAATTGCCTAAGAGATCATAGCTGTGTGTGTTAGTTCTATGATAATAGGAGCATTATCGAAAACACTGTAACCTGTGTCTAATCAGCAGTTGGTATGTAAACTGATTAATTGCACACCGTTTGAGTTTCTATGACTTGCAAAGGGTTAATTGGAGCATGCAAACTGTGGACTGTGATCTGTATAAACCATGGTTTGTAGCTGGGCACATTTTAGTAAAGTGTAGACTAATCACAGTTTATACAGTTCTGGATTTAACTTTTTAAAGGGATATTTCAAAGAGAAGCAAATGCTTCCATCTCCACCTTGTGGCCAGAGTAGAGAAGGAGAGGGGGAAGCAGGGCTGAAATCGTGATTTGCTCCTATCAGAAGTTGAAGGTCAGTTGCTCTCATTAATCTCTCCTCCCCGCTTTTCGACAAAAGCAGGTCATAAGCTGAAATCCTGTTCCACAATTATTCACATAAGTGTAACTTCTGGAAATGAAATGTCTTGAGTTAAGAAATCTTTGTAGACATTATTTGTTGCTTACTGAGTTGGCTTGCAATATGTAATGTCTATGGCCATTTCTTACCTTATGGCAATTTGCGTCAAAAAGTTATGTCATTTGCTTAACTACGCAAGAGGATTTCAGCTACAGAATCATAAAATTATAGAGTGGGAAGGGAACATCTAATCCACCCCCTGCCAGTGCAAGCAAGCCACAGCTAACAATTCCATGCAGATGGCCTTCCAAACTCTGGTAGTTTTTCCTTCTGATGTAGTCTTTTCTCCAGTGTTCCACGATGTGAAGGAGAGAGCCTGACATTGGCTGAAATCCTGTTGCTTAGCATAGTAAGTCATACAGTCTTAAGCCATGGAATCAATGAAACTTAGAGAGGTGTTGGCTGACCAGATTGCCTCCTGATTCAATGGGCCTGCTGTAGTGTTCTACTACGCTAAGCAACAAGATTTAAGCCAGTGCTTACCTGGGTCCTACGATACAGCATGCTTAATCCTGGTAGACCTGCTTCTCTGTGTTACACTGTTTCAAGTGCTTGCCTCCTGCTTGTTGTGTCTCCCTCCTTCCTAGAGGTACCTTCCCTCTATTGCTTTGCTGTATCCAGAGCCACTCTATCTTCCTGGAGGAACTGTAGCATGGATAGATGGACCTCAAGCTGACGTATGTTATTTTCCCAGGTGATGAGCATGGCATCAGGGATACAAATCCTTGTTTGTTTTCTCCCCACAGGTGAGGAAGAAGAACTGTAAAATTATTGTTCTCAATCCACGAGATGGCAAAATATTTTGCTGCACCCTCTGCAGGAGAAGAGAACAAGAAGAAAGATTGTTTATGCCAATTGAGAGAAATTTAACAAGAACATGAAGTCAAAAAAAGCATTTCAATACAAGCAACACACCAAGTGCAACATGGCAAAGTTTGCTCTTTGGTTGTGCTTTGAGGATTGGAAACACCAGGGAAGGCATTTGTGACTCTTTTAACCATCAGCCCCTTTCCTGTGCTCATTGTGTCTCTGCATCATTTGTGTTTCAGAGGGACAAGTTAGAAATTTTACACAGGCATTTTGCAAATGTTATGAAGATCTTGATCAGATAAAACAGCATTCCTTGTCTTGCATTGCCTGGAGGCAAGAAATTCCACATGGTTAACAATTCCTTCTTAAAGCTCTTTGTCAAGTTGAAATACCTAAAATGATAGGAACAAATAATTTAGCAAATATTCTTTACATCCTGAACGGGGAGGTTTCAGGTCACTGAAACAGCTCCCTCAGCATAGGCATCTGTTTGTCCCACATAGCTGATGCTACAGCGCTCCAGGCCACCTCCACAAATGCTTCTGCTAAGTGCTCATTTTAAAAATGTCAATTTATTGTCCCTCTTCATTCATTCCTGCTTATAAGCATGCAGGAGTCTTAGTTTAATTCTCAAACAAATTCTTAACTTTAATAATAATAATGTGTCATCAAGTTGATCCTGACTTGTGATGACCCTTTTCAGTGTCTTCTAAGTATGGAATACTCAGAAGTGGTTTACTAGTCCTTTTTTCTAGATACACTTAGAGGCTGGGGAGCCTCTGACTATACAGGCTGGCTTTTCTCCTGGCAAGAACAGTAGGGAACTGAACTTCTTGACAGCAAGAACTGTTTGACAGTAGAACAACTGCCTCAGAGATTGTTCAAGATTTTATGACAAAGACTTTTATCACATAAATGAGGCAAGAAATGCCAAATGTTCAAGCTTGATTCAGAAAGAGAAGAGGCATTAGAGATTATATTGCAAATATCTCTTTGCTACTAAGATGAAAAAAATCAGAAGAAAATCAAAGCAACACCTTTGACTGTGTAGATCACAAAAAGCTGTAGATCATTCTAAAAACAGAAATGGGCATCGGTGTTGATTCTACTGATGCATAAGCTAATCTCTAGACAAGAGGCTGCTGTTAGATCAGAATATGGAGAAACAGAATGGTTTCCTACAGGTAAATGTGCCAGATAAGGGTGAAATTTATCTCTCAGTCTGTTCAATATATGTGCTGAACTTATCACACAGAAAACTGAATTAGATTTAGATGGAAGCAGAGTGAAACCTGGTGGAAGAAACATCAATTACCGTATTTAAGATCTGCATATAATACTATACTACTCTTAGAAAGCAACAATGACTTGAAATGACTACTGATGAAGTTTAAAGAAGAAAGTGGAAATGAATTATTATAGTTTGATCATTTGAAAGACATAAATCATAACTATAGAATAATTACATAAATGGTGAGAAAGAAACCCTTGCATTGTTAAAACACATTTTATACCTTGGTTCAATCATCAATCAAAATGAAGCAAAGAAATCAGAAGACTGAAACTTGAAAAAGCAGCTATGAAGGAATTAGAAAATATCATTAAAAGAAAGAATGCATTATTAGAGATCAAGACCAAGATAATACAGTACTGACTAAAAGATTGTCCTTAATTACTATATGCAAAGCTGGGCAGTGAAGAAAATTGATGAGAAAAAATGTGATTCATTTGAAATGTGATATTAGATATGTGATATTAGAATAGAGCTTCATCAATACCATGGACTGCCAGAAAGCCAAAGTGGGTTCTGAAGCAACCAAGGTTGAACTCTCATTAGAGTTTAGAAGATAAAATTGCTAAACCAAGGGTATCAGATTTTGTACATATATTTAGAAGACAAGACTCACTGGAAAAGAAAATGATATTAGGGTGGGAAAAGAGGAAGGATGAGTATTAGATGGATCAATGGCCTTTAGAATGCAAGACTTTAAGGAGGTTAGGGTCTTTTGTTGTAATATCATCAAGATGCTTTTGATTTATGGTGATCCCAAGGTATGTCAGTTGTTCAGAGAATGATTTAACATTGCCACTTCCCACTGAATTTCCATGACCCATGTCTCCTGAATCTAAGTCTGTGACTATTATACTGGCTCACGTTTGGAACTTTTTGAAGTCATCATTCATTCATAGTGTCACCCATATGTTGAAGGATGAGGTCTGACCTGACCACAGTGACACTCACCTCTGTTACATCCCAGCTGGATTACCAGAGCACGCTCTATGGGGGGCTGCTTCTGGAAAGTGCTTGGAAACTTCAACGGGTCCAAAACACTGCAAACAGATTGTTAAATGAGGCTGGTAACAGAGCACATAACTCCTCTGTTGCAGCAGCTCCACTGGCTGCTGGTCCATTTCTGGGCACAATTTCAGAGTGCTGGTTTTCTTATAAAGCCCTAAATGGCTTAGATACCTCAAAGACTGTACTCCCTCTATGAGCCTACCCACTTTTTAAGATAATCAGGGAATATCTTTCTCTCTGTCCCACCATCCTCACAGCTGTTATTTTGTTGGGATATGGGAGAGGCCCTTCTCTGTTGCTGTTCCCTGTCTCTGGAACTCTGCCCCCCCAACCGCCAGGCTGGCTCCATCATTGCTGTCCTTCGACAAACAGGCCAAGACCTTTCTCTTCAGGCAGGCTTTACTTTAGTGACAAGACTAACTAAGAAAAATTTTTAAATGGGATAGTTTGCATGTTGTTTTTAAATCTGTTTTAGTAATGTTTTACCCAACTTTCCTTTCCTAATATTGTCAATTTGATTAATATTTGAATAGGTCATTTATTTAAAAAAAGCTTTAATATTGTGTTTTAATTATATAAACCATGTTGGGTCCTTTCTGAGGAGAAAGGTGGGGCAAAACTATTTTAATTAAACATTAATTAATAAGTAACAGCAGCAGCAACCAGTAACATGTTACTTTCAAACTTTCTGAGAAATCCTGTATTAGTCCCATTTAGAGGAAGCCCATATAAATGAATGGGGACTTTTTAGTCACAACCAGACTTAGGCTCTATGGATGTCACTGGAATCATTCTACTCCTCTTGGGACTAATCTTGTTCTTAGCCTTCCAAATAACATTAAACCACATGTTAGTGTCATACCTGCATTCAGACAATGTCTGGCTTACCAAATACGTTTATGTTGTGCCTTAACCCATTTAATAGTGGGTCAGCACACTGTCATATAGGTTCATAATTGTGACCAGGTAAATTCTCTTTTGGGAGCAGAACCCATTTGACTCTGGGGAAAAAGTCTTCCAATAAAAATAATAAAAATAAACTAAGCAAAAATGTTCCCATTCAAGTTCTTAATCAATTTTGTTTATAATCCCCAAAGGAGGGTGCTTCTGTCTTCTGTATTAATAATTCAAGGCTCTTCCTATGTCTGAGAATGAGTGAAGGAAGAAAAATATCTGAATAATGGGGCAAATATCAGTTACCTAGGGACCCTAACGTCATTGGTGCTCCATAGAAACAATCTTACTTTTCAACAAGGAAAGGTCACAATCAAAGCAAATCTGGAACAGATATACTAAAGAGGTGATAGCAAAATAAGATACTTACTATAGACATCACCGTCCATCCTAATTATGGAAAGAGTGCGAATCAACCACTTCTTGAACATTTCTCACTAAACTGAAAAGCTCTTATGTACCAGGTATTATAAAGTAAATTTTGGCCATGAAACCCCACATGCAAATTCCAGCTTCCCTTCTGGTTTTGTGCCCTTCCTTCAAGATATAGGTAGCTGCTACCAGTACAGTACAAGGAAGTTGCTGAGTGGGTAGAAGGCTTTTATAGCGATCTCTACAAGTAATCAAAGCCTGGGCTCCAGAAGCCACTAAATGTGTTTTTTTTGTTTGTTTGTTTTTTACTGATCACTAATCACTGACTCAAACGTCAAAAGTCAATGAGCTTCGGTGCAAATTCAAACTTCAGTTTTAAGCATTGCAAAAGTACCAGATAGAATCACTATTTTAAACAATAGCAAACACAATTTGAGCCAGACATAGCAAGCCTGTTCATTTGTCTCCATAAAAGCAAGAGAAATTTAATCAGCCAGATTTCCACAAGAGGAAAGAACTTGGGGGACTGAAGCCATTAGATACATGCTTGATTTTAGGATTTAAGAAAATATAACTTTCAATCACTATGTTATATAACGGGCACTTATGAAAGAGGTCTAGCTCTGGAGCCTAGCAGTTCCCATGCCATTTTAAGCAGTTACTAAAAGGCTTCACACAGAGAAAAAAAAAATCCTGCTATGTTTTCAAGATTGCAAAGGACTGGGCTAGGGCACATATTAATTTTGCACAAGAGTGAAAGCATTTAAAATATATTTTTGCCTTCAGCAATAATTAATGATTAAGTAGCTATGAATGGGACTTTCTTACGTATAAGCTGTATATCTTACCTATGGTTTTCAATTAATTCAGTGTATAGTGGAAGTTTTTGTTCTCATGTTCTTAATGGCATCTACTCATTATTCTTATTAACGCCTGTTCTTAAAGGCAGCTGCTTGGTGGTGTTGCAAAAACTGATATTCGGAAAGCACAAAACACCACCAGCTTTTTCCCGTATATGTTGAGCAGTGGGTAAGAGCAGCAGCATTCCTGGAGTTAAGGGGGCAAAGAATATGTTGAATATTATTTCTCTGGCTTTCACAATTTCTTCCTTTCTGCCCATTACCATCATTTATCAGAAGAACAGTCATAATTATGGATGGGTGAAAGTCCTTCAGTTCAAATTTGCAATGCGATTCTCCCAAAATAAACAATTTGGGCTCAGTTCAGATCATTTCCAAATTAGTTCATCAAAAAATATTTCTTCCACTTTGAATTTCAGCCCTCGGCATATTACAGCTGATTAGGAAGGTGGTAGAGGCTGGAGGCCTTCCAAAACCTTTTGCTCTTCCCTTCATTTCTCTAAAACATCTTCTAACAACAGCAAATGATCCAACGAGAAGGATTTTTTTTCCTTTTTGCCCTCAAAGCCTTATTATCACATTGAAGGGGGGTGTCGTAGAAGAGGAAGAGAAAAAAGAAAGAAGCCTTCTCTCCCCCCTTGATGACCCCCGGCCCCAATTACCTTCCCTCAGTACAAAAATTGAATTAGAAAAAGAAAGCTTCCATTGCCATTGGGGGAATGGAGAGCAAGCAGGATTCACCTTCTCATGCCTCACCTTACTGAGTCATCTTCAAAATGGGAAGTGGACATCTTGAAGCCAGAGGGGGCCAGTGAACAGAAGGAACTCAACAATCTAGACCAGTGGTTCTTAACCTTTGTTACTCGGATGCTTTTGAACTGCAACTCCCAGAACCCCCAGTCAGGACAGCTGGTGGCGAAGGCTTCTGGGAGTTGCAGTCCAAAACTCCTGAGTAACCCAAGGTTAAGAACCAGTAATCTAGCTGATAGCACCCTTAGGGCAGCTGTGGGTAGAAGGGCCGAGGCCAATTGACACAGTGGGAGATGAGGAAAGCCTGTAGATATCAGACCCATTTGCCTGAGAGAAAGCTCAGAAGGTTTTTAGCAACAGCATAGCACCCTTGGGGGAGCTGTGGGTAGAAGGGCTGAGGCCAATTGACACAGTGGAAGATGAGGAAAGCCTGGTAGATATCAGACCCGTTTGCCTGAGAAGAAAGCTCAGAAGGTTTTTAGCAACAGCAACAACAGCATCTCTGAGGCTCTTTATAACTGAGCTGGATGCCTGAGAGCGGCATGGTGAGAGCTAATGTTTCTGTGAGTTTTGTTACTTAGGTTGTGGGATACAACTCATTAACAGTGTCTCACTCATGCTGTGCCCTTCTTTGCCTTGCCTGGACTGCTCAGAACAATTTATTATATAGCGTTTCATAATTCTGTAAAAAAAAAAAAAAGAATTTCACCTGGTTCCTTTTATTTCACCATGAGAGACATGTTTGGTGAGTCTGCAATCAGAAATAGTTCAAAGAGGCAGTCAAAATGTCTGCTTCATTTGGGCAGTCCATAGAAGACTCTCTCTTTCTCCCTCCCCCCCCTCTCTCTCTGCCTCTCTGTCAATCTCTGTCTCCTCCCTCCCTCCCTCCTTGGGTCAATTCACTTCCGTCTTTGTGCTCTTCATCCTCTAGGGTAGTGGTTCCCAACTTGGGTCGGGAATTCTTGGACTGCAATTCCCAGAAGCCTTCACTGCTGTACCTAAATGCAGTCCCCCCAACACCCCAGGCCCCCTCAGCACTTTCACATCTCAAAAACATTTTTTTAACATTTTTATTTTAAAAAGTCCTCTGTGATCTCCAGTGGACATCAGGGCAATTTTACCATGCCCCCCCCCAGCTGTACAAGCAGGGTCTTTTAAAAACTGGAAAGTCACTTAGATAGTTGAGGAACTCCCCAAAAGTGAAAGTGCTCATCGCAGACATTGAAGTGTTGTGAAAGAGCTCTTCCAGTAAAACAGAAGAAAGTACGTGGAGGTGGTGTATAGTAGGGAATCTGGCCCTGCACAGTCCAGGGATGGATAGATGCAGTGCCTGCACATCTGGACATGGCTCATCCTCATACTACAACGTATTTGTTAAGGGACTGATATTCTGAAAGAACTATATAGCAGAGTAGAGAGATAAAGGATATCAGCTTAGTCTGCACTGGGATGAAGATTGTGCTTACTGCATTCCTCATTTTCTTTGAGCTAGGGCAGTGGTTCCCAACCTTGAGTAACCTAGGTGGTCTTGGACTGCAATTCCCAGAAGCCTTTGCTATGAGCTGTGCTGATCAGGATTTCCGGGGGTTGCAGTGGAAGAACATCTGGGGATCCAAGGTTGGGAACCACTGCTCTAGGGCTTGCTTTGCTGTGAATGGCCCAGTTACTCCCTCTTCCTCCTTCCCCTCTTGGTTTCTTGCCTGATCCTTGCTTGCAGCAAAGCCCATCATCCACAAAATGGGTGGCCTTGTGATTTTTTTTTTCTTCATTTCACCCTTCTTCAGGCCAGCTCACCCCGCCTGTCAGTAACAAGTAACATACTTTTCTGGTTCCAATGAAAAATAGTAGATTACAGGCATGGCCATTAACAGGCAAAAATAGTAATGGTATTACAGCTCATTGCTGAAAAATGTAGTTCATTACTAGAGTAACTATTAGACACATTGCTCTTAGAATTGGAGTTAATTCCAAATGTTGCCATAAAAGGTATATTTGAGGAATCAAAGCCATTTACGGTTTCTCCATTGTCTGTGATTAGATTATAAGGTCTTTCTTTACAGCAGTTGTAGCGCCACCGTCCTTAAAAGCCAGCCAGTAGGTTACCATTGTAATGTCATAATGCAGACAAACACTGCTGAGAGTATCATACGAAACACAGAAATGGGGAATAATTGATTGTATTTGTTTGTTTGTAATAGCTGTCTCCCACGCAGTGGTGCGCTGATTAGAATGAGTTATGAGCTGCTCCAGTTATTCTACTTTTTCTTTGAAAGGCTTTCTCTTTGTGAGTGCCTCGTGGCATGGTATCAGCAGGATCTAAAGCATGGCAGAACTTCACTCTGTGCCCTCAGTAGCATGGAATGCCATCAAATCTGCAGGGATTCATGAAGAAAGTTGTGATGAATTTTCTGCAAAGCCAAATAGAATGTAGCATTTAAGGTGCCTTGGTGCGAGGGTGTACAGGATTGTGCAGTGGTTAGAAAGAAGCAAGGGAGGAAAAGAGCTAGGGTTCAGTTCTTGCCTCCGTTGCAGCCTCTGGTCTGTGCGTTTATGAAGGATTTGTTGAGCCAATATTAGACTTGCAGAATTTGGGTGGAAGCGACTTAGGCTTAGCCTTGTGCACCCTGTCTTTTTGTCTGAGTTTCCTAGGGTGGAGGAGGTGTGGAACTGACATGATGCAGCTCTCCTCTCCTCTTGACAATTCCACACTCTACTTTAGGGGGCACTCTTCTGCCATCATATTTTGCTCGGTACAACATTTATTCCTCTCTGCAAACCTTTGAAATCAGTCAGGAAAAGGGGGAGCAGCTGGCACAAGAGCATTTCTGACAGAATATGAAGATTTCTGCTGACAGGGGTTAGCTTCTAATCCTAACTTCCTATGACTGGCCCATCTTTGAGTGAGAATGGCACTGTGAGCCTTTTTTTTAAGTCAATGGGACTTATCAATAAGTGGGCATATATGGGATTGCTTTGTTAGTCATCAGGCTCTTTAGGTCCCTTTCAGCCAGCCACTTTCCATCAGCCTATCCAGGCTGTTGTGAGAATAAAGAAGAAGAAACAAGTGCAGCAACCTGAGCAGCATATAGAAAGTATGAGATAATCTGTTTTCTTGTGGATGGATTATTTACGTAAGGCTTGTGCTCCCAGTGTTTATGGTAATTAATCCTAGGAGAGAAGGGTAGCCTTTCATATATTCACATTAGTCAAGTTGATCAAGGGCTTTATGTATTCATTTAATAACCTGTTTTGATTTCTCAGACAGAAGGGAGGAGTAAAGTTTGGGATTATAATTTGGTTTTACTTGTAGGGAGGGGGATAGTTTTCTGATGAGCCTCATGGCACCGCGGTTAGAGTACAGTACTGCAGCCAAAACTCTGCTCATGACCCAGGTTCAATTCCAGGTAGCCGGTCTGAGGTTCACTCAGCCTTCCATCCTTCTGAGGTCAGTA